CAATCACCAAGTCTCTTTTCATTCCAGGATCTGGATTTGGTACAAAGAAGATTCTAATTAAAGCTTTCGTCTTATTAAGACAAAGTAAAACACACACTATTCAACTACTAGATAAAACTATCACTGATAAACCACTACCACACTTTTCAGCTAAGTGTCTACCCTAGAGACAATTCTCCTGTTTGCTTTTACTCAAAATTCAGATGAATTTTATTCTACTAATTTGCTCACTTACTTTCAATACATGCCAATAAAGAATGTGGCAGACTGTAGCAACATTGCAATGATAAAAATACGCCCCGTGCTAAAATGAAAATTCACTAATTTTTGGATGTGCCTGTTACTCTTGGCAGGGGAATATAAGAGAACAAAATAGTTCTGTCCTCGTGAAGCTTACATTATAGAAAAGGAGAGAAGAGACACATAACATGTGAAAAGTGCTATGAAAAAAAACAGTGAAGCCGTGTTTGAGGGGGAATGAGCCCGATGCTCTTTACAGGATGGTCAGAGAAGACCTCACTGAGAAGATGACTTACAAAAAGCAGAGTCCAAAGAAAGGGGAGGACTAAACCACGTGAATACCTGGGGAAACCCTGCTTACCTAGAAATAAAGGTAAGTGCAAAGTCTCTAGGGTCAGAGTGTGATTAACATGTTTGAGAAACAGCAAGAAGGCCAGCGCAACTGGAGCTGAACAACAAGGCAGTGAGAGGTAGGAGATGAAGTCAGAAAAGGAGCTGACTATGTAAGGAGCAGAGACTGCCACTGAGAGGACTTAGGTTTTGCTCCAAGTCAGATGGAAAAGCACCTCTGGACAGTTTTAAGCACAACCTGATTTCTTATTTTAAAGGTTCTCTCTAGCACTGCTGCCCTCAGAAGGACTGTGAGAGGGCAAAAGCAAAAATAAGACCACTAGCAAGTGATCACAATAATCTAAGCTGATGTGGGCTTGGACCAGGATGATACTGGTAGGGTGATGAAAAGCTGTCAGATTCTGGAAGTATTTTAAAGATAAACAGGATTTAGTGATAGATTGACACATTAAGTGTGAAAGAGACTGGTCAAAATGACTCCAAGGTTTTTGGCCTGGGCAAATGAAAGGACAGAGCTGCCATTTAGTGAGCTGGAAGACTGTGGGAGCAGCAGATTTGGGGAGGAGAGTGGGGAGCAGCATGGGGAATCAGGAGTTTAGTTTTGACCGGGTCAAGCAAGACTTGCCTTCAGGAGGTCCAAGCAGAGATGTGAAATAAGCAGTTGGATATATAAGGCTAAAGCTTTGAGGGGAGATCTAGCTGAAGACAGAAATTTGGAAGCCATGAAAGTACAAATGGTCCTTAAAATCATGAGACTGCTTATGGCAATTCATATAACTTAAAAAAGAGCTGCGTAAAAATATTAATTCCAAATTTGATAGAGTTAAACTGCACTGGTAATTTTCCCCTTTAATTTCCATCACTCCCATGTATTTATATAAAAGTGAGTTGGTACTACAAAGCCTAACAGCATTCCTCATAGACACTCAGGTATTTTTGGATGAATTATGAACTTTCAGAGCTGGGAAAGGCCCTTAGAGATAAATCAACACGCTCATTTTGACAGATGGATAGAGTCCCAAAGCGGTTTACTAATTTGCTCAAGGTCACCCAGTTAGTTAGGAAGTACACTAGATTAGATCCCAGACACGGCCCAATAAATTCCCCTCCACATGTTTTCTTGTTCTGAGTAAGTACCTGTGACTCAGTAAAGTAGAGGAAAATCTTCCCCATTTGTTAACTATACAATAACCTTACCCCGTTAGAATGCAGCTAAGAATCAAGAGTCAAAATAGGTCTTTGGGTAGACAGGAGAAGTCATAAAACCCTTGTAATCAAGTTCACGGACTTCAGTAACTAGTAAAATCCCTGCAAATGCTTCTTCTCATCTGACACACGTAAACAGCATTCTAGGACCATTAGGTTAAACAGGCAGAGGCCCACGCAAGCACAAATTCTTATTACCACTTTAGGGCATCAACATATAAAAGGACAACACAATACAGTTATGCGCCACTTAACAAGGACATGTTCTGAGAAATGCACCATTAGGTGATTTTGTCACTGTGTGAACATCGGAGAGTACACTTACACAAACCTAGTACATACCCAGGCTGTATGGGACTAATCTTATGGGGCTACCATCATCTATGTAGTTCATCGTCAACCAAAACGTTGTTATGTGGCATATGACTGTATAAATATAGGTAAAATACATAAGATAGTAAGAATGATAGGAATCTTTTTTAGGTGCTTTTGTTCCAGATACTATGCTGGTTATCTTTTAGTATAACTCTTCATTTCTAATCCTTACAACAATCCCTCAAGGTTTGAACAATATTATTCCCATTTTTCACATGTGGAACAGAGGCCAAAGAGGTTTAATATCTTGATCACAAGCACATCAGAACTAGCAGGGCCAGGACAGGAACACAGTTCTGCCTGAATCCAAAGCCAGCATGCTTTAAACTACACCACAGGAAAAGGTGAAATTATATTCTACATAGTCCTATGAGATGCTAAGGGAATTACCTATTACAATTATCATCTAAAATGCTTAAATTCTTGACCTTGGAATAAGTAATTGGAGAAAAATTCATACCTTGAGGGTAGATAACCCAAAGCAGTAAATGATGGTCTACATTCTCGATTCATAAAAATAATCATATAGATGTAGATTGGCAGCTATGCAAAAATACAGAAACAATATTTTCTTACTTAGGTCAAGAATGATGTTCAACTTACACACAAATATTCTAATTACATTTTGTTCAACATAACAATGTCTTAAGAACATTATTTTAAATAAAATTGAGTCAAGAAAAAAAGTTCTTGTTCTTTGACAATAAAAGGAACAAGTTAGAAGAAAATGTAAGACCTGAATGTCAGCTTTGTGTCTGAAAACCTCTGAAGTAATTTCCAATACCTTTTATTATTTAGTTTAGAATATTAAATTTTTAAAAATCATAATGTCATGACAATGACAGATAGCAAAGATGAAAAGAAATGAAATCAACAAATAATGTAAATACCTTACATTTTTGTCATAAAATTAAACTTCCTCCCTCAACAATCTTAAACCAGATTTCACACAGGAAACGAAATTGACTGGCTTGAATTTCACCCTTATTAATTTTGCAAATGAAGTACCACAACACTTTAGATAGAACCAATCCAAGAAATGTCCACCATAAGGCAATTCCAAGAACAGAAACTCCAAGGAGAAGGCAAAGAGAGAAAGAAGCAAATGATAAAATCTATCCCAATTCTACAAAGAATGCTTCCCACCCCACTACACCCACTACACCGAATAATGAAACAGCCTGTTCCTTTGGGAGGGACGGGGGGAAGATGAGAGCTCAATCATCCCAAGGCCTCCCTTTAAGTTCCAAAGGTCTGTGACCCCAGAGATACCTATCCCTTCTCTTCAACAAACAGATCTTATTCTTTGTAATGCTCTCTCTTTCCTAGCAGGGAGGTTGTTATGCTTTCTGTACCAGCTGAAGAAAACAAGTAAGCCTTGAGACACAATTTTACTGTCTCAGAGAAAATCAAGCAGCCAACAAATTCCTTTCTAAAGACATGGCTCCATCCTTTCTCACAGACTTCAAAATCTACCTGTTGAAGGACTTAAGAAAAGCAGGCGCCAGCCCGGTGGCACAGAGGTTAAATCAGTGTGCTTCATGGGTTCAGATCCCAGGTGCAGACCTACACACCACTCAAGGCTTCCTGTGGCAGCGTCCCACATAGAAAACAGAGGAATGATTGGTACAGATGTTAGCTCAGCAACAATCTTCCTCAAGCAAAAAGAGGAAGATTGGCAACAGATGTTAGCTGAGGGCAAATCTTCCTCACCAAAAAAAAAAAAAAAAAAACCAAGAAAGAAAGAAAGAAAAAGAAAAGAAAAGCAGTATCTTTAATTATGAGAATCAGAGTATCTCAAAGTTTCTTAGTCTATGAAAGTATATCACCTTTTTAAGACATTGCTTAGGGAAATAACTAACCAGCTAATTTCTAGAATGTCATATTAGGAGAGTTCAGAGTACTAAATTTGATCATTTTTAGGATACCAACCAAAGTACAAATGTGCAATTCTACTGAAAGAAAACTCTTTACATTTTTAGAAGCAATGTACTGTACCTCCAAGAATGTCCCAACAAGCCTAGAAGTCATACAATTAAGTACGTGGGCACCTAACAGTTAACTATAAACATAGTATGTTCCTAATAAAAATTCCTGCTTGACTTGCAGGATTAAAAATAATTCAAGATATTGTTTGGTAAACATACCTTTTCATATCCCTTTGGGTGACCAAACTCACTTTCACCATCATGCATTTGACTACTAAGAAGGAAAGCTATATTTCTGAGCTTTACAAAGTACCAATTACATATTTTACATGCCACATCAATTTATACATGCTGAGTAAATCAGATTAAGAATTAATGGATTAATATACAACAGACACAGAAACAATTATAGATATGTGTGTATACATGTGTTAGTATACACAGATGTACACCTCCATATGTTACCCAGCTCTGTCCACTGACAGGGCCTAGAAGCAATGACACCCGAGTAACAGTGAGCATGCCCAGCTCCAGAGTCTCATTTCTAAATACCATTCTCCAACAAAAGGAACTAGGGCTCCTTGGAAAAATGGTTGGTTCCAGGGCCGGGACAGGAAAACTGAAAGATGAAGCTGGAGTATCTCTCTAGTACCCAAAGTAAGAAAGTGCTCAAATCTGCACTTTAACTCTTGTTTTCCATAACAGGTGAATTTCTGTTAAGGAAGAAAATCCTATTATCATTAGATTGTCCATGTGTGATTAATGACTATTGTCACTTCCATTCTTTACCCCAAAATATGCAACCCTGCATTCCCTAATCCCTCAAAGTGCACACAGTAAAGAGGGGACACACATAAAAGGCAAAAAGAGTTAGGGGTTAGTCACAAAATTAAATCATACCGTGCAAAATTCAAGCTTTTTACCAGTTCATCTAATATGCGGTTATTTTTCAGGTCCGGCTCTGTGACTGTCTAGAAAAGAAAAACAAGAGATGGGAAAAGGTCAGAAACAGTAATTAACTTGTCATAATCTCATTTTGAAAACATGTGACCCACTCTCCTGAGACTCCCCACCCCACTAGGTCTTCCAGGAAAGCCTCAAAATAAAGTTCAGTTATGTCATACTAACATGGAGTCTTAAAACAGTGAATCAGTATCTGCTGACTGGAAGGCTGAGAAAAGCTCTCCAAAGCATCTGGTAAAATCAGATACACTCTGTACTGATGAAGATAAAACCTAATACGAGCAAGAATCCTTCAAAATGCCAGCACTCAGCTTTTCCAAAAATTTCTCCGGAAAAGCAGAAGAGAGATGTTTGTTCTTTTAATTGATAATATTAGGAGAGACATCAGGTGTTCAAAAAGAGTTTAAAAACAAGACTGGTGTTCAGGAACACAAGAGGAAAATGATAAATCCAGTACTCATTTAGCATGAATGGTATGCAGTTTATCTCCATGAGGATACCATCTTGACAAAGGCAGTCTACCATGAATCATAAAGAGCTTAGGCTCAAGAAACAAACTGGATCATTTCTTACGTAGCGTTCTTACATAATAGTTCAGAGAAGTTCAATGACATCCTGACACCACATACCTACCAGAGGTGCTGAACTAGAACTCAAACCCTTTAACTAGTCCCAGTGTCCTTGCTATTAGACCTTACTGTCTCTTTCTTCTTTCTTTATTCCAACTTATGTTTTCTTTCCCTTTTCACCTATTTCCACTACTTGAAATGCTTCAGAAACCACAACAACAAATTTCCTAATGTTTTCCCTGAAGGCCTGGTTGGGAAAGAGGAAAGAGACCAGTCGGGCTGGGTTCAGCCCAATGGCCATGAATCCTTGCCTTCTGCACAAATACTTACGCTGGTCATTTGCAAATGACTAATCCTACCATCAGATTTTCCACCCAATGTGAGAAATTATAAATATCAGGAGCCAAAAAACATGGGCCATAAGATTTAGAAAGTGCTACATCCTGATCTGAAAATTAGTTTTCATTTCTTAAAATACATTTAGGTTATCAGAAATATGAATAAAACATCAAACAACGCCAAATTCTCCATACATGTATTTCAGAGGTCTTTTCTGAAAACGTCTTTTACATAGCTTAATTCAATAATTACACATCTTCCCTTGGGCTTTTATGTACACACAAAGCAGAAATATTTGCACCAATCAATAAGTTTAAAAAAAAAAAGGAAAGAAAAACTCACCACACAACAAGTTGGACATTGTGTCTTATAGGACAGAAATTTTCTTATACAGAGAGAACAGTCTGCAAAAACATAAATGCAACATAACAAATTAGTTAAGCTATATTAATAATACAGGAACCTGACTTTTAAACAAAATCTGACCTAAGCCCTAGAATATTTCCATCACCTAATGTATAGCATTATAATCTCAAAATTCTAGTACCTCTACTCTACCTATGTACGTTTGCAAATGTGATTAAACAGGCATCTTCAGGACAGGGAAACATATTAAATAATAAGAATCATGAGTCCCTAGGGTATCACAACTCCATAAGCAACATGCATCAGGCTCAGTATCCTGCATCTGTAAATGCAGGAAACATACATGTAAGACCTGGGATGGATACTGTATAAACAAGTCAGCTATCTCTATGGCCTGATATTCTAAAATATAGATTTTGAAATAAGATATATACACTTGTTAAGAAATAATATATACCCAGGTTATCAAATCAGGGATTTCCACATCCTAACTCTGTAAATGACACCCATCATGCCACATTTAACAAGTCCTTTTGTGGCAAGCACTAAGAAAAGAACAATACATGAGGGAAGGTTGTTGACTTCAAGGAGCTAAGAAAGCAGTGAGGCAATTACAGTACAATTCAGTGTCCTAAGTTCTGAGGATTTAAGCAGGAAATCAGCATTAACTAAATTCTTCACACTCCGGGCAGTGTAAAATAATCTCCCAAAGAAAAAAACAGTGACTAATAGAAAAGTACCTTACTGGTAGCTAGTGCGTATTAGCCCAAATTCAGCTGAGTGAAGGGGCCTCATTAAAAAGGATTCAGATCAGTTAAGGAGAAGACAGTATGACTTCAGGGACAAACAACCAGGAAATGAACAAGTCATGCCTGCCTGAACAAGAGCATACAGGAGGAAAATGAAACAACGCACTATAAAAAGGATAAAACAGGGGCCAGCCCAGTGGTGTGGTGGTTGAGTTCACACATCCCGCTTTGGTGGCTGGGGATTCACCAGTTTGGGTCCTGGGCACAAATCTACGCACCATTCATCAGGCCATGCTGGGGCAGCATCCCACACGCAAGAACTAGAAGGAGCTACAACTAGGATATACAACTATGTACTGGGACTTTGGGCAGAAAAAAAAAAAAGAGGAAGACTGGCAACAGATGTTCGCTCAGGGCCAATTTTCCTCACCAGAAAAAAAAAAAAAAGGAAAAAGGCAACAGGTTAAGTTCTTTGAGAAGCAAAGACGAATAAAGGGAGACTTCTGGTTTCCAGTTTGGCACGTAAGGAGCTTGGGAGTTGTCACTCTTATCTAACAACAAGTAAAAAGCTGAACAGACTGAAAAATCAACAACTCTTCTTAGATCCATCAGAAACGTGGGATCACAGGGCAAACTGCTGTCCCCAAAATTGAAGAGACAGACAAGCTGGATACAGGGAATCACAATTTACCAGAGCAAGAACCCACGAGCAGAAACATCCACAGGAACCAGAGAAGGAAGCTCTGCTGGAACCAGTGCTGGGGTAGGAAAACCTGAACTGTAACTGATGAATTGCTGGGGGCTCAGTGTGGACAGGTCAGAGACTTAAAACTCCAGAGAGACTCAGACATGCGGGGGCTTCACACTTATGCAAATTTTAGCACCAAGAGTTCTACCAGGTTCTCACAGTGACTATTGGAGGACAATCCCCTAGTCGTTCTGCAGCAAGAGGGGAAAGCAATCATTTTGAAGTAGACCAGAGCCCTCTGTCCTTGACAAGGCCTGCCCTCCAGAGAAACTATTCTACCAGAGCCAGTTCTAGTGGGGTTTTATCAGAGCCCAGAGGACCCAGGGGAAGGGAAATAATCAACTCCAGCTACCTCTAGCCATCCTGTCCCACCTAAGGTGGGGGGGAGGGGGCACAAAGGGACAGAAGAAACAAACAAATGGCAATTGAGAAGCACCTGTGAGGTTCACAGCCCAGGGTCAGGCTCACGAAAAGACTGAGACCTGATGGCAGGACTACGGAATGCTTCCCCTCCCCCCACACCTCACCACCACATTCCCAAAGGCCTATTTACTGCAGTTCCTTTTACCCAGTACATCAAGTCTCATATTAGGAAAAAATTATAAGGCACACCAAAAGGCAAAAAAACAGTTTGAAGCATCAGAACTAGAGTCAGTTTTGGCAAGAATGTTGGAAATATCAGGCCAGGAATTTAAAACAACTATGATGAATATGCTACAGGCTCTAATGGACAAAGTAGACAGCATGGAAGAACAGATGGTAATGTCAGCAGAGAGCAGGAAACCCTTAGAAACACTCAAAAAGAAACGCTAGAGATAAAAAAACACTGTAACACAAGTAAAGAGTGCCTTTGATGGGCTCATTAGTAGACTGGACACAGCTGAGGAAAGAACTCAGCGCTTGAGGATATCTCAATAGAAACTTTCAAAACTGAAAAGCAAAAAAGGAAAAAAGACTGAAAAAGAAAAACCAAAACAGAATATCCAAGGACTGTGGGACAACCATAAAAGGTGTAACAGAGGCATAATGGCAATACAAAAAGGAGAAGAAAGAAATAGAAGAAATATTTGAAGCAATAATGGCTGAGAATTTTCCCCAAATCAATGTCAGACACCAAACCACAGATCCAGGAAACCCAGAGAACACAAAGCAGGAGAATGAAAAAAAAAAAAAAAAAAACCCCTACAACTTAGTACATCATATTCAAACTGAAGAAAATCAAAGATAAAAAAATCTTGAAAGAAGCCAGAGGGAAAAAACACCTTACCTATAGAAGAGCAAAGGTAAGAATTAAATCAAACTTCTCAGAAACCATGCAAGCAAGAAAAGAGTGGAATGAAATACTCAAAGTTTTGCGAGAAAAAAACACACCAACAGGGGCCAGCCCCGTGGCCGAGTGGTTAAGTTCACGCGCTCTGCTCCAACAACTCGGGGTTTCCCAGCTTCAGATCCTGGGCACGGACATGGCACCACTCATCAAGCCATGCTGAGGCAGCATCCCACATAGCACAACGAGAGGCGCTCACAACTGGAATATACAACTATGTACTGGGGGGCTTTGGGGAGAAAAAGGAGAAAAGAAAAAAGAGAAGATTGGCAAGAGTTGTTAGCTCAGGTGTGCCAATCTTTAAAAAAAAAAAACAAACCACCAACCTCTAATTTTATATCCTGAGAAATTATCCTTCAAAAAAGAAATAAAAATAAACACTTCTTCATACAATAAAAACTGAGGGAATTTGCTTCCAGTAGACCAGCCTTACAAGAAATGTTAAATGAAGTTTTTCAAAGAGAAGGAAAATGATACAGCTCGGAAACTCGGATTTACATGAAGAAAGGAACAGCACCAGAGAAGGAATACGTGAAGGTAAAAGAAAAACTCTTATTTTTCATATTCTTAATCAATATAACAGATAACAGTTTGTTCAAAATAACAGCAGCAACAAAGTATTAGATTATCTATACTTATATATGCTTGTGTGTAAGTGAAATGAACGACAGCAATGATACAAAGGACTGGAGAGAGGAATTAGGTATCTTAGCTCTGGCTGCCATAGCAAAATAGTACAGACTGGTGGCTTAAACAACAGAAATCAATTTTCTCACAGTTCTGGAGGCTAGAAGTCCAAGCTCAAGGTGCCAGTATAGTTGATTTCTGGTGAGAACTCTCTTCCTGCCTTGTCGAGGACCACCTACTCACTGTGTCCGACATGGCAAGAGGAGAGAGGACAAGCTGTCTCTGTCTCTTCTTATAAGGGCACTATCCACATCACGAGGGCTCCACCCTCGGGACCTCATCTAAACCTCATTACCTTCCAAAGTCTCCATCGCCAAATACCATCACTTTGGGAGTTAGAGCTTCAACATATGAATTTTGTGGGGACACAATTCAGTCCATAGCATTCCACCACTTGCCCCCTCAAATCCATGTCCCTCTCACCTGCAAAATGCATTCATCTCATTCGACCAGACCCAAAAGTCTTAACTCATTCCAGCATCCGCTCTAAAGTCCACAGTCCAAAGTCTCATCTAAATCACCTAACTCAGATATAGATGAGACTCAAGGCATGATTCATTCTGAGGCAAAATTCCTCTCCAGACTCACTCTCTTGACCGTCAATGTTACTCTCTTCACACTATAAGACGTTTCGTATGCAATACTACAAGTCAGGCATTCCCACACCTGGCTGCTCAGCTGAATCACCTGGGGAGATTATTGTTGGTTTTGTTAGATTCCCAGGCCCTACCCCGAGTCAAACTGATTCAATGGATTTTAGCCACTAAATCACATCCATAATATGTGATTCGGATTGAACAATAATTATTTTTAAAAAATTAATATGTTTTTGCTATTAGGTTGAACTATATGAAATTGTCATTTTTGGTAAGTCAAAAAGGACAACTATTGGCAATTTCAGGTGGTTTAACAAAACATTGTGCACTCACTGTGCTCCACTTTAAGCATGTTACATGTATTAACTCTTTTGATTCTTACAGCAACCCTAGGGTTGGTATTAATATCAGTCCCATTTTACAAGGAAGACGCAGCACAGGGCTTAGCCAATTTGCTCAAGATCACAGAGCTAACAGGAGGCAAACACAAGCATCGGAAGCCCAGGCTCTTAACATATTTTTAATTACTTACTTAAAATGCCTATAATTTGTTTATAAAATATGTTTAATTATATATACTTATATAGTAGAAATAAATAATATTTAATTAATAGGATCACACTTACTGGAGTATATATAATGAAGCTACCACTTTCTCCTCTCCATCTTGTACGTGTTTTGTTTTTTAATATGGAGAACCAGACGCTAATCCAAAGTAGATCAGCCCTTGGCTTAATTTCAGTCTATTAGTCTGCAACTACCAAATGTATGTTGGTGAATGCAGACCAGCATAATTTATTCTCTAGTGAGCAACCATGATATTCCAATCAAAATAGAGCAGTTGAAGAGCTTTGAACCATGTATTCCTAGGTGACTTTATTTAAATCACCTGTGAAATTTGTTTTTCCACCCAAGAGCCCAACTATGAACC